GAATATCTTTGGAAATCATGAGGATAGAGCCTATATACCATCGACAATGAACGACTAAGATTGAGTCCAAAAAAGATCAAAAATCACAAATCTAGCACTCAATTAATGATGACCGGACTTAATTATCTATGGGTAATAGTTCACCATTAATGGTCCATTCACCCATTGATGGTACTGTTTACTTCTCAGGAAAAACATCAATATGACCATGGACTATCGATGAGTTATTGTAAACCATTGATGATCTTAACCTACCATCGATGATTAGATAGATCAGATCAAGAGCTTTTTGAAAATTTATTATAATAATGATTTGGATAACCATGTTAAAAGTTATAGCCCATGCAATTTTCAGCCTTGATGTATGTTTCAATGCTGTTGCTGACTATTTCGATGTTATTGAACTAAAACATTCATATCTTGTGTTGTACATATCTATATTGAGTCTGTTTATTCTTGTAGATTTGTGATAACAAGGCAAATACTCCCATATACTCAAAAATAATTTTTGTTCTTGATATTTTTTCAGAATTAGCTATGATTAATTTATCATCTTGCTTTTATTAATATTGAACTTGATTCTAACTTCTTGTAACATGTATAAAATATCTCAAATATATATTAGATAAATGTGAAGGTTTTTATTCATCAAACAAAGTTGACTGCACGGACACAGTCCTAACATGATCTCAGGTTCCTTTCCATGACTTTCTCTTTGTACCATCTAAGTAGGTTGTACAATTGTTTTGCCGATCCATACAAGTGCTGTTCAAAGAGCTTCCCCCTCACACCAAATTCTATGATATGAGGTTTCCATGTTAAGTTCCCTATGAAACTTCTCTTTTAAGATCAATTATGTGGTAGATGGATTGATTTTCAATATTATTCGCACTTGATTAGTTGTCCACTTCTGAGATGCCCGGGGGTGATCCTTCTCCCCTACACCTTTGGCAAGGCAGCTATGCGCACCACTAATTTTTTAAACATAGAATCGCTTGCTATATACTCGTTGAATACAATGAACCCACCATTCACAATTTAGAGCCATGCAACTCATACTCACTTTGCTCGGTTTATTCTTAGAAAATCTATACCCGAAACTTAGTGCAATGGAATAATTTCTTAAGCTCTACTTTAAGTGTTCAATGTTACTTGACCAACACTTCTAATTGCATGATGTCATCAGATAGGAATCTGACGACTTGAAATTTTAACTTATTGCAATGCATTATGTGAAATAGATGGATTCTATGATAATAAAACATGTTGTTCCGCTAGTGGGATGGTAGGATTTCTGCGTAGATTAGAAATTGAATTACAACATATCAAATAAAGTTCTTAACATAGAAAAATATACATATTTTAGTAACTTCTAATGCTTTTGACTAGTTATTTTTGCACATTAATTGTATTTCATATTTATTTGAAAAACTTTTATCATATACGTATCGTGCTTGGTTGTTGCCAAAATAAAATCTCTCTTTCCAAATCAACATGCACCTTGACAATTTTCTGATTGCAACCGTAATCTACATTCATCATCATCAAGACATCAATATCATCAATAACACAACTAATAGTTTGGCATGAGAGACTTTATAACTCAATTGCAATGTGCTTGCACAACAATTGACTCTACTTTGTACTTAATTTACTAAATCATTATATTTTCCCTTAACATTCAATGGAATCAAGTAACTATTTCTTGTGAAGTCGGTTGATAGGAAATATAGATCTTCATAATTAAGAAAATAAAGTTAGATTATAAAATACCTCAAGGGAATCAAAACTTATATTTTCAGAAACTTCACAAAAGCTACAAATTCAAGAAAGTGAGCAGACCTAATGGAAAAAACACTCATTTCTTTGAGGAAATCTACAAAAATTAAGAAATAAATGTAGATACCCATCAGTTACTTAGATAAATATTGATAAAATATATAATAAGGAAAACAATAGTCTTGTTGAGCCCTAATAATGCCATAAGTAAAATTTCGTTGATGGATTTTTTATAATTTACTCAATTGCAGGGATTCGACATTATACAATTTTTAAAGAAATATATATAAAGATAGACAAAGAGAACCACTTCCTACATAGAGACAAACATATTGAATTCAATTCTAAATCTAAAAAACTAAATGATTTTTTCTCTTTAACAATGATTTCAACGAAAGATATGAGCTTTCTTAAATAAAAAAGTGTCTTTTACTTAAAAATAGAGGTTTTCTAAAAGAAACAGAGCGTCTTAATTCTTCACAAAACTCTTGGATCTTGAACTTCAGACAAGTATTTTTCAATGATTACAAGCAATAATGTCTTCTTCTTTATTATTCATCAAACACCAAATCCGATCTCAACCACTATATCATAATTCTATTAAATGATAGTTATGAGAAGAGAGAAAAAATATTAATGGAGGTGAGAGAATATGAGAGGGCAATGAAGAAGAAGAGCAATTGGGGATTTTTTGGTAATCTCGGGTTTAATGGCGCCATATTTTTTTCATCCCATTACAACAATTAATGTCATCATCGCGTGGATGGAGGACGTAGATGAGAAACGACCCGGATAGAGAGAATAAGGGAGGACTATTTTGGGAATTTCGCAGAGTGAGGCTCACAATAAGTTCTTTATAGCCATTTGTGATGTCAATTGGGTTTAAGGGTAGATGGGTATGGGTATTTCGGGTTTATAGGTTTAGATCAAACTAAATGGGTTTTCTGACAAATGGGGGTCAAATTTTGGGTTTAAAAGCAGAAACCCCAAACTTTTATTGTCTTTTGATAATACCATTCAAAATTTATTACTTTTTTCTAAGGGGCTGTTTGGTTCGTTTTTTAACTCGGTGGAAAAGTTTTACACCACCTCCACATCACGTAGGATATAAGCTTTCCATCGGTTTTTTTTTCCCATCTTTGGTCCGCTAGGGTTGAAGAAGGGAAACTCGGTAAAAATCGCTGCCACATCAGAATTTTTTCTCTCCCCCAATTCCTTCCCCAACCTCGTGAAATCGACGAAAACTGTAGCCACGTCAGCTTTTTTCCATATAAACAAAAGTTTTTCCTTTTTTTCCATACGAACCAAACACAAGAAAAACAAATACATTGGTTTCCCACCATTTTTTTGTGCGAACCAAAGCGAAACAATCTATTTCTTGGAAAAGTTTGGAAAACTCAAAACTTGTGTTTTTGTACATGGAAATGCATTTTCCTATATCTAAGAAACGAACCAAACAGCCCCTAATTAGATTCTTTGATACTGTCCAAGAAAGGTAAGCTAATGATGAATTTAACATGATTTAGAAAGTAAATCAATCTTTCTAAAAAAAACATAAAAAAAAACATAAATCGATAAATAGCATAGAAAATAATATTTTAAAGGGAAAATTGCTCATGAACACCTCATTTATAATTTCAGGGACAATTAACACCCCTCACCTCATTTAATAGCACTAAGCACCTCCATATATTCATTTTTGGAAAGAGAAATTACAAATAACACCCTTTTCTCAAGGTAAGTGCTAATAAATCGATAGATAGTTTGGATTTTGTTGTCATAAAGTTGTCTGTCGTTTTAAACTTTGATGTCCTTCAAAGTTTTGTTTTGACACTTTGTTGAAATTTAAACGAAAGTTTGGAGCATCAAGGTATCAAAAATAAACTTTAGACCAGCAAAATTTGGAGACGAGACAACTTTATGAGATCAAAGTGCAAGTTATCTAAATTAGTTGAGAGATGAAGGTAAAGGTGTAGGGGATTATGTGTCCCTTACTCTATTTTAAAATAGATAAGATGCACCTGATTAATTTCACATAGCTAGGCTGAACTTTATTATTATTATTATCACCGGACCTTTATATGGAATTTGTAGAGAAGAAAAGCGTTCTGGAGAGAAAAAAAAAATTCAAACTTTCATCTTTTGTCATTTACACGCAATGAACCCTCCTCTAGAATTTAGGTTTTTTTTTTCCTCTCAAGGAATTCTATTTATTTGCAAATTACATTTAGTAGAGTTTGGTGAGAAAGTTTAAAAGTTCAGATCAGTCGTATAAGACATCGCCAAAGGTAAAAAGTTCAAAGGGATTACTGGGGTATCCCCCAAAGTCCAGGGGGTTTGGTGGACTTAACCTGATCTCTTAACAGAGAACTGCTACAGTGTCACGCTCTTTACCTCAGCTTCAGAACTCAGTCAAAGTGGAGAGAACGGATAACAAAAACGTAGGGCTCATCGCTCGCACGTGATGCCCTATAACGGTCGATTCCTTCTGCTGTCAGCCACTATTTTAACCCCCGACCCCCCAAAAAAAACAACGATCTAGCCGTTACCATTCAAACGCCCAAAATTTGAAAATTTTTAATGGAATTATACGGGTAAATCCTTGGGATGGGCCCCAAAAAACTACCAACGGCTCTATTCTGAGGCCCAATTGTGATCCTAAAATTTGAAATTCCGACCTCATTCCTACTCTCCCTCTGTCTTTTATGTTCCAGTCCTTGTCCCCTTCCCTCCACCTCGGGTCCCGCGAATCTTCACCTTTCTCTCTCTCTCCTCTCTCCGTAACCACTAAATAAATAAATAAAAACAATTCAAATAAGAAGCTATTATCGCCTGAAATCCCTTCACCCTTCGATTCAAACTAACCCTTCTCTTTCTCCCTCCGAATTGAAACGGAAAAAAAAAAAATGGGCGTTTGTTTCAGCAAGAAGAGGGAGGAGGAGCCTTGTGCTCCTCCAGATCCAGCTGCAGCTTCAGCTGAGCCCAAGATCCCAATTCCAAAAGAGAAGAAGAGCAAGAAGAAGAACGATGCCAACGCCAACGCCAACGCCAGTGCAGCAGCCAAAGAGGAGACAACACCGAAAGAAGCAAAACCCCCTCCGCAAATGGAAAAGAAACCAGTCTTCGTTGTCACCCAAACCCCCAAGAAGAAATCCCCCGCTACTTCTCAAGAGGAGAAAAAGCCCAGTTGTAAGCCCACTAATCCAGTCGAGCTCAATGCTACAACGCTCCTCTGGTAAAGCCTCCGGCGATACTCTAGCGAGAAAGTATTCGGGGTCGAAGAGGAGCAGCTCCTCTGGTAAAGCCTCCGGCGATACTCTAGCGAGAAAGTATTCGGGGTCGAAGAGGAGCTTTGATTTTGATAATGAGAAGAGCAGAGACGAAGAAGATGACTGGGACCAGAAGCAGCAGCACCAGCAGCAGAGCACGAGGTCCTCTCCTCGTAGGAGAACTCCGAGCCGAGAGAGGTCAGGGAGCAGAGAAAGAGGGAGCCAGAGAAGAGTCAGTCGATCTCCAGGGAGGAGACCAGAAGGCACTGCTGCTGGTGCTGCTGCTTTTTCTTGTGATAAAACGAAGCAGCAGCAGCAACCGACGAAAATGGTTTCTGTTCCCGCGAGAGAGAAGGGAGTTGCTGGTGGTGCTGCCAATGCTACTGCCGCTGTTAATTGTAGGAGGAATGCATCGCCAAGGTCTAGATCTCCTGCTAATCCAACCAGAGCTTCGAATGAGAATGCAATGATGGCTCAGCAGCCTCAGCCGTCGCTTAGCAGGAGCTCGTCGAGGAAACAGGAGCAATCCCCCTATAGAAGAAGCCCGATGGCTGAAGTTGACGAGAACTTGATCAAGGGAAACAATAATGGCGGCGCCAACAAGAGTCAAAAAACCCAACTCCAAACTCATACCCAGGTTAAATCCTGTACTGAATTTCGCAAATTTTTTTCTTAAGTATTTCACATTTATTCTAATATGATGATGCTTATATCAGAGAAACTCGAGCAATCCCGTTGTCACCAACTGCGTTCGCGATCAGTTGATGAGCTGCAGAGCAAAGGAGAAGCAGCAATCAGAGCCCGAAATAGTTGAAGAACCAAAAGACCCAAAGGGGAACCATCCAACAGTGACAAGGAGCAGATCCTCAAGAAGATCATCCAGAGATTTCGACCACATTCTGGGCCTAAACCCAGAAAACACCCCCTTCTCTCTTCCAGCTTGTGTATCGAAAGCCTGTTCCATCCTCGAAGCAGTAGCCGATCTCAACTCATCTTCATCAGATCAGACCAACAACGAAAATGGTCGATTTGGGCAAAGGGGATTGAATTCAAAAGACGCATTTGTGGAATCTGAGATGGAAGTGAAGGACGACTTGACAGAACCTAGTCTTCACAAGTATGTTTCAGGCGAGGATATGGAGCCTCAGGAATCAGCTGGGAGCAATAGCGTCGGTGGTCAGCCATGGATGTCTAATTGGGAAATGAATTCGGTGGATTCGACTGACAGGTGTTGGACTTCGCAGTCGAACGAGGAAGTGGAGGATACGTCAAAGGTGGAGGGTAGAGGATCAACATTAAGGGGTGGAGGGTCGAGTAGTAATACCTTTGCAGGGTCGGCTACAGGATCGAGTAGCAAGAAGAGGGAGGTTGAGCATCGGCGTCAAGTTCATCGTGGTCGTGTTAGTGGTGGCAGTGGAAAGGTTGGTGGCAGCGGTAGAGCTTATTCAGCTCCTGTTGCCGCTGCTGCAAGCTCTTAGAGAGGGAAAAATGCTACTGAATTTGTGTCGCAATTGTTGGGGCTCTTGGTTGTATTCTGCTTGGTTAGCAAGTTGTTTTGCTTCAATAGATGTAGTTGTGTACTTGTTCTTGTGACAAGTTGTTTGTTTTAGATTCTAATTGGCAATATGACTCTGGAAGATTGCCTGAAGTTCCTTTGCTCAGTTAATCTTTGAACAAAAAAGAATATGCACTAGAAGCCTGGGTTCAAGCTCCTACTGATTCGAAATGCACTTCTTGGGACTTTTGCTCGTATTTTTGATGGTCATGTAGCCTACAAGGATGTTTTGCCTCAATAGATGTGGTAGCGTACTTGTTCTTGCAGTCATGGTGATGACTGGCAGGTGAGCTCTCTTACTTTTGCTCATTTTCAATCTTTCAAAGTATGTGCAGTAGAAGTTTATGCTTCTGCACATAATTTTTGTGAAGATGGTACGTACATTTATTGTTGCAATTGATTTGCAAACAGGGGAATATTTTTGAGATAGTATGATCTGAATCATTTTGAAGCTGAGCTAGAAGGAACTATAAATTTAGTACATTATGGGAAGAACGACTCTATTTAAACCTGAGGAGTGTTAGATATTGTATTTACAGCTCTTTGTTTAATCCTGCATTGAGTAGAGTAGTAGAACAGTTCTATTCACATTGTATATATAGACACCAATATAAATAAAGATTGATTCCTTTTCTCCCAATTTGCTCTGCATTTAATATGGTATCAGAGCCATCCAATCAATGCCCTCATCAAATCTCAACCCTGCAAATCTAAACAATCAGCGGGTCCCACCTCATCACCAACCCTAACCCTAACCCTAGTTTGCAGCTACCCACTACCACCCAACTCTCATCGCCCCCACACTAGATTGCACCATCTGGTACTTGTCACCACGCCCGCACCGCCATAGGTCCTGGCCACGACCACCTGCCTCGATTCCCGCCACGACCGCATCGCTCTCGAACACGACAGCTCAACCACGATCGAGCTGTTGCCAGATCCCGCCCACGCCTGCTTGCCTGCTGTGATTGTCGCTAGCCTACTTGACCTCAATGTCGATCGACCACTCGACCACAACCTGCTTACCTCAACCCACTCGACCGCTCAACCACAGCGCACTCGCCCGCCAGCGCACTCGCCCATGACCTGCTCGTCCTAGTACCCTATCTCGACCTCGATGCTAGTCGACCATGTAGATGGTCAAAATATATTTCTACTCATGCTAATGTATAGCTTGGATCTAAGAAGTAAACGTCTATGGACTAATCACTTCGAATGGGCCCAAAGCCAAACCCACAACCAGCTGTAGAAAATATCGGTTAACAAAACATGCGAACCTCACCATGCAGCCCATCTCAACTCGACTCAACCAAGTTAAGAGCGACTTGACTCCCAATTCACGCCTTAGACCGAGTCAAAAGACGTTATTAGTTGGCCAAATTGCAAGTTGAATTCTGTGTCAAAATTTGAACTCACAAACAAAACTCGTCTGTCAGCGAACTTAACTTATGGCAATCCAAGTGGACCCAGTCATCTATGGTTCCGAAAAAGACTCGCCCATGTCTTCACCTAGCCTCACCCATGTCTTCAGCGATCTTTGTCCCCGTCTTCAATGAACTTCACCAAGTCAGCGAACCTCGCTAACTAGCCGTTTAGTCGTTCCATGCTATCTCATATTTTAATGGCCACTTAATCCATAATTAAAGGTCGTTTACTCTCTTTTTTAGCCTATAAAAGAAGAGGAGATTGCTTATTTGAGCCCCCAGGACCAAAATATAGGGAGATCAACTCACACGCAGAGAGAAATTCCTATTATCTCACTTACAATTTAATTGAATAGAAATGCCAAGAGAAGACTGAGCTATATTCTAAGTTACTAAGTTCCCATCAACAACAAATAACTCATTGTCTTAATTGGTGCATCAATAGAACACAATATCGACGTTCCACCGACACACAGAAAAGAAACTCAGAAATATAAATTTTTTCTGTGTTTCATCATATTCTTTTTATTGTAATATGCGCTAATTGCAATAGTAAAAAGACCCAAAACAAGATGGTGACTCTGCTGAAGTCTACTTTTTCCTCCAATGAGTAAATTACGTCGCACATCGACACTAAGAACCTCTGGTCTTTTGCTGAATCGCTGGTCATTGAATTTGACCAAACAAAGTTTAAGGAATTCATTTCCACGAACCAATCTTCATTAACAGTGATAGTACATAGTTGTTGAAGTATTTGCCGTAGTGCGAATCTCAGGTCTAAACCGACCACCACATGTGTAAAGGCAACCTTTGCTAAAGATAGTTTGAGCTTCATTAGAAGCTAAATGAGTTTTGCCAAGTGTGAAGAAAACTCGACCTTTGTCTTGAGCGAAGATAAAGATGTTGATCTCAGACATCAGCCCACAACTCCTTTAGGAGTTCGATTTAAAGCATGCCGTGATACTCGCTATACTTCCTCGATAGAAGCTCAGATTGGGGGTAATACCTCATCTAAATTCCTGCAAGGGAATAATATCATCAATGCTGATTGCGCTATATAAAAGCTGGGCCAATGTCGCCGAAAGCGACGTTCGTGTTCGAAGGCCAAAAGTGGCAAAGTCGGCGTTGAAGAACGCCCTCAACTTGGAACTACTTGTGATTTAAGAGAAGTAGTCTCAGTAGTTTAAAAGAGTTGTCAATGTAAAGTTATTCCTAAAAAGGAATAAGCATTCAGCCGTCTTAGTCATAGTCCTGAGCCTTCAGAAGTTCGGACTAAATAACGACAACGTACCCAAAAGTGTAAAACACAAGTCTTCACTATCAATATGACAGGTGTGACTTCTAGAAATGATAAAGAAAGTACAGATAGCTCACCCAATCTAGTGTATTCTTCTGGTATTAGATCCATATTGCCAGAAGCTCATGGTGTGTATCACCACACTAGGTTAAGGCAAGGAGCAACAATTCCTATCGACTTCTCTTCCCTCCAAACACGGTCATTGCAGACGTTATCTCAAGTGAACCAACCCAATTCTAGCGATGCCAACTCTGTCATAATATCAAATGCGACCCCTAATTCAAGTCAATGATGATAATGAGATGTAGATGTGATGGACCGAGAAAATCTTTTTGCTCAAATGATGGTCCAAAAGAAAGATTCAGATGAGCAGATCAAACATGTAGAAAAGATGGTCGAGCAACTCTTATAAGCATCTCAAACTCAACCAAGTTCTTTAAAGAGGAAAAGGCAATCGATGAATCCTCCTAAGAAAAAGATCAAGAGCATCAAGATAATGCAGATTCCGAACATGTAGGATCGGAGATGATAATACCTTCAAAGCCAAGCAAGGAAGCAAAAGCCCTGGAGGACATCTAAAAGTAGCTCAATATTCTTTCTCAATGAACTGAGCTGAAGAAGGTTAGAATCATCCGACTTTATCCCATTGAGTGGGACATGGTTCCCTATCCGATAAAATTCAAGCCGCCAATATTGCATATGTTTGATGGTAAATGTTCTCTGAAATAACATATCTACTACTTTCACAATAAACTAGGAATGTAGTGGGTAATGACGCCATTATGGCACGACTTTTTATTAGCACCCTTCAAGGGGTAGCCTTTGACTGATTTCAGAATTTGCCCGAGGCTTCACTTAGATCATGAGTGAATTTAGAATTGAAGTTCCTCTTGTAATTCCATGAGGAATAATCTAATATTACCATGGCAAAACTTCTTTCTAAAAAGCAAAAAAATAAGATGATCAGGGAATACACTGTAAGACACCGTAATCTGACATTGCCATGTCGAGATATGCCTCTTATGATGTTACTTCTAACTTGTCGGCACAATTTCATGGCATTGATTGAAGCTAACATGGAATTATTAAGCATAGACTATCAAGTTACTAAAAATAAGTATAATCTATCAAAATATATTCAAGCAATATTACTACTTATGAAAACAAGTAAACAACTAGATAATAACCTAGAATTAAAAAAACATAAACTATCAAACAATTTAACATGAGCATAGCCAATGAAATTCTCTTTCTACTAATTAATTCACTAGCTGATTATCTTTAATATGATTATTTTAAGTACAAAAGAGAGCAATTAATAAATTAAAAAGAAATTAACTAGTTTTATCAAATCCTAGAAATCTTAAAGAGATTAGCTACTCATACTAGAAATTAAAATTAAGAAATTAAAATCTAAACTATAAAATGTAGAAAGAAAATATATCTACAGTACAAAGCATAAAAGAAAAGAGCAAGAAAATAAATCTACATTATAAGTATAAAATAAAAATAATAAATAAAATCTTAAAAAAAGAAAAATAAAAAATTACATTGCAAGAGATTAGTCCTTGTGAAACAAATATTCATCTTCATCATTAAAACAGAAGAAGAACAAAAATTAAAATGGAAGAAATTTTTTTATGTATCGCAATGTAAATGTATAATTATGGAAGGCGTTCTGAATTAAGAGTGGTCCCTATCTACAAAATGAGTTTACTGTGACGCCTCTGTTTTCACACATGGCTACAGTCCAAGGTGAACCTAGATGTCAAATCTGCCATGTACCCATACTGTGCAACAATATGTTTCACCATCACAATAATTCCTCTCTAGTGGGATCAATGACAAGTGTAGGTACAAAACAGGAAAAATAAGAGCAATAGATGCAATGGACGTGACATAGAAAGAAATATCCTATAAATATGATCATGTCCCAATTCGAGTAAAATAAAATACAACTGATGTCTGAAATAAAGGTGAAATATCTCAATACATAAGAGTCATCTGAAAATAATACTAAGGCACATAGCTTTTACAAAATAAAACAAAACTGTAAATGTCTGAAAGAAAACATTAAACTACGGTGGAGCACCAACTACAAATAAGTGACGACGATTATGCTATAAATCCATCAATCTACGGCTCTCCAACACTATGATCCGCTACCTAAAAAGAAGGGAAAAAAAAGAAAAACAACAACAGCGTCAAAGCACTTTAGCAGGATCATCTCCATCTGCCCTTAGAAGAAGGGCTACTAAATGTGATGGAGGCTCTATCTATTTTGCATAGTCTAGCTAAATCATTTACCATGTATCTAAATGAGATTAATATTTAGAAACCCACAACACGAGACATAGTACATCGAATGAAATAATCCAATCAAGGAAACCCTCATGTATATACCATATGCCTCAAATTGTGAATCGCTAAATATCAATTCCAAACTAAGAATAAAAGATAAAGGAAAGCAAAA